AGATCCATTCTAAGGCTCAGCCTAGCCCAGCGATGGCGAACCTTTTGAGCTCGGCCTGTCAGCATTTTGAAAAACCCTAACTTAACTCTGGTCACATATAGAAATTTTTTGATATTTGCAACCATAGGAAACAAAGATTTATATTTTTGATATTTATTTTATATATTTAAATGCCATTTAACAAAGAAAAATCAACCAAAAAAATGAGTTCGCGTGTCACCTCTGACACGCATGTCATAGGTTCGCCATCACTGGCCTAGCCCCTCACCTGTAGAAAGCCCAATTGGCTTAATATTTCTTTTCAAAATTATCAGATTCTTCCCAGTGGGAATCCTATTTAATAAAAGGCTAATATGCAAATATCCCCTCGACTGGGAGTTCGACCAGGGGGCGGGGCCAGGAGGGGGGGCAACCACTCTCGGCCCCTTCCCTGGCAGGCCCTACCCCACCCCCTACCGCCCCTCCACCCCATGGGGCAGGCTGGCCAGACCCCACCCATGCACGAAGTCGTGCACTGGGCCTCTAGTCCTTTATAAAAAGGAAGAACCATCACCAGAGCAACACAATCACTGCCCCATGTCCTCAGACTGTGAATCCCCCTCAGTCACCCCTTACTTGCCTAGTCTCTCTGAGGGGGCAACCCTTCCTAGCCAAGCTCCAGAGGGCACTGACCTTGCCATGCTTGTGGTGCGCCTGCGACTTTTTTTGAGCTTTCTTCATTTTCTTCCGAATCTTCTTGTCCGTCACCATTCCTGGTGCTACCATGCCAGGAGCCAAGGGATTAATAGGAGGCATGCCAGGGGCAGGTGGTGGATATGGAGGGGGATAGGGGCCTGATGGTTGGTATCCTGGATATGCTGGTGGTGGCACAGGATAAGGGGGTCCGACTGGGGGGAAAGCTGGATTCCCCTGGGGAGCTCCTGGGGGAGTGGGAAAGGGGCCAAGGGGAGTAGGAAACGGGCCCGGAGGAAAGGCAGGATTGACAGGCGGTGGATGGGCAGGATTGGAACCTCCAGGGTACCCGACATTAGGGGGATATGGATTTGGCCCTGGCTGCCCTGGTGGAAGAAACAAAGAAGAAATTAAGATTAGGATTACCCGATCAACCAAAGGACTTGTATACATGCATATAAGCCTAACCAATGGACACAGACAACAGGGGGTGTGAGGGTATGAGTGGGGGGGGGGGGTAGGGGGCAATGGGGGGAAAAGGACACATATGTAATACCTGAATCAATAAAGCAAAAAAATTAAAAATAAAAGATTAGGATTACCCAGGGCCTCCGACAACAAATAACAAAAAGGCAGGAATTCAGTTTCCCACTCAATACTTACAGGGAAATGGAAAAGTGAGGAAGGAGAACGGAAGGTAAGGAAAACAAATCCAAGTAGAAGAGATAAAAGGTCACGTCCCTCTCCCGCTGGGAAGAGAGGGAGATGGTGAACTCGAAGGCAAGAAAAGAGCATGGGTCAGCCATAGTCTAGGGGGACTTGGCCTTTGCAGATGAGGGGAGAGGTAGAAGGAAAACACAGAGACGTCCTGTTGTGGGGCCCATTTGGAAAGGGGTTGGGGTAGGGAAGAGAGCACCCCAAATACCTACCGGCACTGGGATTCCACATGGTCAGGTGTTCGCTACAGCCTGAGGAGAAAGAAGGCAAAAAGCTGACCGCCCGGAGGCGGGGAGGGGATTTAGGGACCGCGCCCCACCCCAAAGCCTCCAGCTCTCCAGTGGGCTCCGAAAACCACCATGACCCCCACCTAACACGTGTTTCTTCCACTGTTCCTTCGCCCTCAATACCCATTTTATTCCTAGTCCCCCAACCACGGGAACCCAGCTCCCAGGGCATCTCCGCCGTCCACTACCTCGGTCCACAGCGGGAGGTCTCCACCTCCGCGAACTTCGCAATCCCCATCACTCAGCTCCCTTTCTGTGTCCGTGACTTTAACCACCCACAGATTCAAGAAGTATTTTAAACAACTTCACCACCATCCCCCCCGCGGGGACAGGGACAGCACCCCCACCCAGGCTAAGAGAAGGACCCTCCTCCAGGCCAAACCTGGAAGGGGTAAGCGAAACCAGGAAGGTGGCTCAGAAAAGATCCTCCAATGCTTACATATGTAGACCCACACCCTTGCCCATTAAGGAGAGCACATGGAGACCCTGGCTCCCAGCTGCGAAGGGACCCCTGACCCAGGAGCGGGAAAGGGAGAAAACCGGGGAACCCAGAGGCGCCGTCACCTTTACAACACCTGGGCTCGGCTGGTCCTTCTCAGGCTCCGCTCTCACTTCCTCTCTCACTTCCTGGTCACGCCCCCGCCGCTTCCGCTCCGGCACCCGCCTCTGCTACCACCTAATTGGTAATTATGTGGTCGTTCGGCGTTGTGATTGGAGAATGTGCCCGTCAATTACTCTAGTCCCTGCCAGGCTAGACGGCTGCGGTTGCAATAGGGGCGGAGCCAGGCACTCTCAGGGCGAGGCGGGGCTGAGGGGCGGGCGGGGCGGACATTCCTAGGTGTGGGGCTGGGAGAGGCTGGTCCCGAGAGGGAGAAGCCGGTTTCTGGGCACAGCCCCTAAGATACGAAGAAGAAATTCAGCACCTGCCCTCTGAGCTTCTCGTCCGGGGGGTGCAACACCTTATAATGTGAATGCGGTACCCTGTGGTATATGCAGAGCGCTTAGGGACGAGGGGGAAGCCGCTGAGTCTCAGCGTCAGCCTCAATATTGCCACCTCCCTCTTAGTTGCCGTGGGAAGTAAAGAAACGTTGTTGCCGGAAATAGTGAGCTGTCCTAATCTCTCCTAGGATTCCCCATCTCCATTGCATAGCTCCGCCATCTGTCAAATTGCAGAAACTAGAAGCCACCCAGGCTAAGTGAAGGACCCTCTTCCAGGTGAAATCAGGAAAGTGGCTCAGGAAAGATCCTCAAATACTTTGTGTACACACCCACTCCCAGCTCTCTAGGTAAACACTAGATTTGGTGAAATATTCCCATTTTATCATAGAATCATAGAATTACAGGGTTGAAAATGACAGAGAATCATGCTTTCAACTTCCTGAGAATATTAAATAAATAAACTTTCGAAGAGTTCATAGTTAGGAGAGCCAAGATGATAATCTCGGTTTTTTGGCTTCTATGTTAGTGATGCCTTCAATGCAACACATTACAATACACCCACTCAAAATTACTGCAAATAAACATTGTAATGCTTACCACAACCCTCCCCTTGTTCCTTGTATTTATGGCCTCTCTGACGTTTTGGAGATGGACATAGTTGTTGTTTTGGGTTTTTTTAATAAGCTTTATTTTTTTAGAACAGTTTTAGGTTTATAGAAAAATTGATACAGAGCTTTTATATTCCCCACACCCAGTTCCCCTATTATTAACATCTTACATTCGTATGTTATGTTTGTTACCAGAATGAATCAACATTGACTTATGATTGTTAACTTTATTCAGATTTCTTATGTTTTTACCCAAAGTCCTTTTTCTGTTCCAGGATATCACATTCCATTTAGTCACCATGTCTCCTTAGGCTCCTCATCATTGTGATAGTTTCTCAGGTTTTCTTTACTTATGATGATCTTGATACTTTTGAGGAGTGCTGAAGGGGTATTTTATAAAATGTCCCTCTATTGGGATTTGTTTGTTTTTCTTGTGATTGTAGGTTTATTTTTATTTAACATAACCCTATGCTTGCCAGCATAGATCTATATATTCTTTTCATATGACATTACCATTTCTAATAATTTATGGCATTTTCATAAACATCGTTTTTAATGATGAAAATTCCTGCTCTGTTACTTAAGGTCTGTGTGACCTTAGACATATTCCTAAACTTCTCTGAATCCTTGGTTTCCTCCTTTGTAAATGATGCTCATAGGATTGTCACGAAACAAGCAAGTAGACTGTTGTGCAGAGGCAAAATACAATGCAGTTATGTTTAAAGATTGTTTACAGTGGTGTTTAACCTAGATTGGGAGAAAAAGAGGCAGCCAAGCGGTAATTTCAGTAGTTGAGGCTGCCAGACCTAGGAGGGAGGAAAGGGGGATGGTACCCAGCAGCTGGCCCTGCCCATACAACCTCAATGGGTAAGATGAGCTGGGGCCTCAGGAAGGGACAAAAACACCTTCCTTATTGGGATCTTCTAGGACCAAGAGAAACTTGGTGTCCTTGAGAGTCAAGGAAGAAGGAAAGGCAGCCCTGTTGTTGAGGGGAAGGCAGGAGCTTGGATTTTGATGTGTTTATAAAGTTTCATGTGGTGGCTGCCTATCCAAGAGATGATGTCTTGGAGAGATTTAGAGACCTGGGTTTGAAGGAAGGTGAAATCTCAGGGCCTGAGAGTAGATGGGCTCTCCAGAGGCTAATCCTGGAACTCTAGAACAACCAAGCTAGAAAGGGGCTAGAATAATCTCAATGCTCAATCACAACTGCTACCATTTACAAAGTGTTTACTAAGGCCAGGAGCTGTGTAAGACGTGTCACCTTTTTTTCACCCTGAATTGACCCTGAAAAGCAGGGTTAAGTGTTTTTCTCCACACTTCACACAAGATAAAACTGAGATTCCAAGGGTGAAGAAACTTGCCTGAGGGCATAGAGTTAGTTGGTCACTGAGCAGGAAGCAATCCTGTGGTAGTGAAATCAGGACTCCCGCACTGTTCTGGGATTGGACAGAAAGGCTTCCAACCCCTTATATAGCAAATAAGGAACCTGAGCCCTAGAAAGAGGAAGTAACTTGCCCAAGGGCACTTGGAGAGTTAGAAACCGAGCCAGGGTTATACACTAGACAGGCACTTGTAACTGGACTGGCCTTGAGGGGTACCCATTATTAAAGATGCCCGGGTTGGAAAAGAAAAGCCAGTAGAGAAAACATAAAAAAAGAAATGAAGGAAGAAGTTCTCAGCATGGCTCCCAAAGCCTTGCCTACAGTTCTCCATGTCACCTTTTCTCTTTTCCCCCCCCCCCCTCCCCCCACCACACACACACACACACACACACACACACACACACACACACACACACTTTTGCTACTCAGGTTACCTGTAGTTTCTTGCTGCACCTCATGATACACCTCACTGGGCAGGAATGTCGTACTGCCCCCAACACTCCTGGAAAATTCCTGCTCATTCAAGACCCAGCTCAAGCATCCTGTGCTGTGAGGCCTTCCTACTCAGGCCTCACCAGAGAACACCCCCTCCCAGGACACTGTACAGGATCCCAACAGAGTGAGTTTTGGATCTCTGAGCACCTTCAGAGCAGCAAGTTCATGGTTTCATCCCTCTTTCCCCAGTGCCCTTCATGGTATCCCACCAAATAAAGGCTTGTTGAGGAGAAGGAACAGAAGAGCGCCAGGAGGAGCCCAGGATCATAAGAAGGGAGGATGCCCTAAGGGTGTGGAGTCAGGAAAGCTGACTTTATCTCTTTCCTGTGCACACCTACCCTCCGTCACTGGTCAGAATTATAGTGGACTGGATACCCACAGAAGGGTCCAAGCATTTGGCAAGCGGGAAAGGCAGTAGTGAGGGAGAGCAAACAGGCATATGATCACCGTGTCTAGTTTGCGCATACATCGATTACACATAAACTGCATAGTTACACATGAGAAATAGTATCGGTAGGTTGAGAATCCTGAAACAAGGGCCTTGCTTAATGCTGAAGTGACAGATTCTCAGCCGAGGCCTACAAGGGAGAAGGGTGGGGAGGAGTCGAGAGACAGTCTTCTGCGCAGAGAGGCAGGCAGCTATGTGAACAGCCCTCTGGGAAGAGGTGAGCCTCCTGAGGATGGGCCAGGGCAGCCAGACGCTGCTGTACACACTCAGCTGTCAGCCGTGCTTCCGGGTCTGCATCCCAACAGTCCTCTAGGATCTCTCTAAGAACACCAGGGTCCTGGGAATAAGGACCAAGAGCCAGGCTTGACCCCAGGATCCTGAGTCGGTCATTAAAAGATGTCCACCACCCTCCCTTGCCCCTCCCTGAAATCCAGCCCTCTGCATCTTGTTGCCTGAGACAGGTTCTCTGGGTGCCTTCCAAAGGGCCCACCTTTTCCTCTGAGGAGCTAATTCTGGTTATGGCTTAACATGTTGATGAGAAACTGCTCTCCTTCCTTTCAGGCAAACAGGGTCTTCTGCAAACAGTCTTCAGGCCTCTGTCATCTAACACAGTAAATACTTGTGCAGTGGAAATTTTAGGCCAGGTATTTCAGACCAGGTAGCAGGGAAGGGGTTTCCTGTTAAAACTATTTGTGCAGACCACTAACATTTCATTCTTAGGCTACTGCTTTAACCTTTTATACCCAGAACTGGCTTTATCGGGTCATGTTAGAAACACAGATGTGTAGGACAGAACGAGGGATGATTGGATTGAAGGTTGGACGCCAGTGTACTGGGCGAGAAGCCATCTTGGGGACAGTGCTCAGGGCAGGAGCAAAGCCAAGGAGGACTTCCTGAAGCAGGGGGCTGCAGAACAAGGCTAACAGATGGGGAGAAGAAAGACAGACTGAGCAAGGGGGAGGTGTGAGCCTCAGGAGTGAGCTGTGTGAGAAGTATGGTGGAAGAGGATGAACTGAAATACAGAGAAAGTTTGCCCAGCTTCAGCTGAACATGGCGCAGGAGTGGTGGAGAAGAAAGGATGGAAGGAGTAGAGGGACTGGTCCTGGCAGACAAGCCCTTGAAGCCTGTGCCCAGACTCTCCAGGTCCCGAGCCCACCAGCCAGTGGCTTCTTACTGTGGCAAAGCAGCACCAAGTGGGTGGGATGTAAGGGCGCCTTCTCTCCGCCACTGCCAAGGTCCATAGCTCACAGGTGGTGGGGGTGCTGCCCAGTTCTGCCTCATAGGCCAGTTGGAAGGGTGGTGGTCTGCTGTCTGGGGGAAAGCACAAAGGATTACGTGTCAGCTAGCGCTGGGAGTGCCTTCCTTGTGGAAAGACCAAGGGGGAGAAGGCCAGGGCTTCCTGGGTCAGGAGGTAGGTGGATCTGGAATGGATGGGTCCACTGGGGACGAGAGGGGACTGTTGCACCCATCCTTACCAGGCCACAGATCCGCGCAGCGGCTCAGGATCTCCCACAGGAGCAGAGCCAGAGAATAAACATCGGCACGCCGGAGGGCCGTGCCCCAGTCCTGTAGGTCCAGAGTCTTGTCCAGGAGCTCCGGGGCCATGTACCTCTGGGTACCAGCCTGGAGAGAAAGGCGTGGAGGACCAAGAATCATCTCCTTCACACAACACTGGTCCATGCAACATCCCCCAACTACAGACTCAGCAATGTCCCAAACGCTGCAGGCACTGCTGCACTGTTGCTATAGCAATGGGCACATCTTCAGCAGCAGCAGCACCATTATCATAGGCCTCATCCTTATCCAGGGTACTTACCTCCATGATGGCAGCTGGGCCTTGGGGTTGAGTAGGGACCCAGGTTGGGGGCGGAGTGAGGCCAGGTAGCACCAAGGCGAGGCCCAGGTCTCCAATGGCACATGACCCATCCTCCCTAATGAGCACATTCTGGCTGCTCAGATCTCGGTGGGCAATACCTGGTTTATATTGGCCTGTGGGAGAAGCCAAGGTTGAAGGGGCATGGATCTTCTTCCTTCCCCTTTTGGCCCAGTCCTTTCCCTCCAAGCTAAGGGAGAATCAGAAACATAGTAGTGTGGCTCCTGATTCCCATGGCTTCTTGCTCGCAGCTCACCCACCATCCTGCCAGCGCTCCTCATGGAGAAATGCCAAGCCCTGTGCCAGGGACAGTGCCATCCGCAGGGAACGTCCCCAGTCACTGGTGTGCTGGGTCAAGTAGTGGCACAGAGAACCCTGGGAGAAGTACAGAGAAGAGGGGGACACACAAAGCTGGAGGTGGCTGACCCACCCCAGAAGAGAGGTCAATTGACAGACATCCCCCTGCATCTCTCAGCAGACCAACACACTGACACATTTAGGGCAAGATAACAGTCAATAGAGGAGTGAGAATGCGCATAGTCAGACTGACAGGAAAAATAGTAACTCTAGTCCAAGGGTCCTGAGCACTAACTGTGGGCCAGGCAATCCTCACACAACTCTAGGAGGAAGGTACTCCTGTCACTCCTGTTTTTCAGATGAGGAGCTTGACAGAGAGCTGACTAAGCTTGCTGGAAGTCACTTGGTGAAAGAGAAGTGGAGCTTGAACCCAAGCAGTCTGACTCTAGTGTCACTCACAATTAACCACCTTAGACTGCCTCAGAGGACTTTGGACAAAGGCAGAAAAAGGAGAGACAGGATGAGCTAGGCCCAGGCACCCCTCGTGAACCACCTGGCTTGAGGTGTCAAGCCTGTGTGGTAGAACTGGCCAGTGAATAGGTCTGTTGGGTAGGAGAGTGGCAGTTGGGAAGCAAGGGAAAATTGTTGGGAAGGAGCAAGAGTCCTGCATTTGAGCCCGGCCAGTGTTGCTCAGTGGTTGAGCATCTTCCCATGCACTAAGAGGTCACCAGTTTGATCCCTGCTGGGTGGCAGGCAGGAGGCAGCTGATGGATGCTTCTCTCTCATCAATGTTTCTATCTCTCTCTCTAAAATCAATAAAAACTTATTTTAAAAAAAGAGTTCTGCATTTGACCAACATTGAGCACTTTCAGTGTGCCAGGAAAGTTAAACAAATAAACAAAACCAAAACAGCAGTGATTTTTGAGCTGAGCAGTGAGGCACATGATGAAAAAGGGGACTTTCCAGAATTCAAGGTTTCAGAGGTGGAGGAGCTATGGGTGCTGATAAACTCTCAAGTCCTTAGTTAGGCCCACAAGGCCAAGTATGGTCTGGTCCTTGCTACCTCTTCCTCTTCATCCTTATTGCTCATGGTCTGCCCCTTGAATCACGTCTCCTTATTCTTCTCTTGTAAGTAGCATGGCCCTGTCTTTCAACACCTAATACAGTTGACATTTTAAACTTATTTTTGTGTTTATTTGACCCACTTCTGTCTCCCCTACTACTCCATAAAATCTGTAAAGGCAGGGAGGGACTCGGAGTGTTTGTCCTAGCACTCAGGACAGTGCCTGACACACAATTCATAAATATTTATTGAATGAATATATGAATAAATTTGAAGGGCTATGCCTCAAGGTATTTCTTTTAAAAAATATATGTTTTTTAACCGATTTCAGAGAAGAAAGGGGAGGGAGAGAGGGATAGAAATATCAATGATGAAAGAGAATCACTGATGGGCTGCCTCCTGCAATACCCCTACTGGGGATCGAGCCCACTACCTGCACATCTGCACACATGCCCTGACCAGGAATTGAACTGTGACCTCCTGGTTCATGGGCTGATGTTCAACCACTGAGCAATACAGGCCGGGCGTGTGTGTGTGTGTGTGTGTGTGTGTGTGTATGTGTGTGTGTGTTGTTTGTTCGTTTGTTTATTTTGGTTTTTTAATTGATTTCAGAGAGGAAGGGAGAGGGAAAGATAGAAACATCAATGATGAGAGAGAATCACCTCCTGCACACCCCCTACTGGAGATCAAGCCTGTAACCCGGGCATGTGCCCTTGACTGGAATCGAACCAGGGACCCTTCAGTCCTCAGGCCAACGCTCTATCCACTGAGCCAAACCAGCTAGGGTTTTTGTGTGTTTTTTTAATTACTCACCCAAGGATATTCCTTCCATTGATTTTCAGAGAGAGTGGAAGAGAGGGAGGGAGGGAGGGAGGGAGAGAGAGAGAGAGAGGGAACCATCGATGTGAAAGAGACACATTGTTTGCTTTCCACATGTGCCCAAATGGCGCAGGAATCCAACCTGCAACCCAGATATGTGCCCTTGACTGGGAATCAAACCCGAGACCTTTCAGTTTGCAGATTGACATTCTAACCACTGAGAAACACTGGCCAGGGCTCAAGATATTTTAAAAATATATATTTTTATTGATTTTAGAGAGGAAGGGAGAGGGAGAGAGAGATAGAAACATCAATGATGAGAAAGAATCCTTAATTGACTGCCTCCTGCACACCTCATACTGGGGATTGAGACCACAACCCGGGTATATGCCCTTGACTGGAATTGAACATGGTGTTCTATCCACTGAGCAAAACCAGTAGGGCTCAAGATATTTATTTATTTATTTATTTATTTATTTATTTATTTATTTATTCATTCTTTATTTTTGGTTAATTCTCACCCAAGGATATTTTCCAATGATTTTTTTAGAGAGTGGAAGGGAGGGGGAGAGACACAGAGAGAGAAACATTGATGTGAGAGATACACATTGATTAGTTGCTTCCCGCAAGTGCCCCAACCCTGGGCCAGGATTGAGCCTACAACCGAAGTACATGCCCTTGATCAGAATTGGACCTGAGACCCTTCTGTCCATGAGCCGATGCTCTAAATACTGAGCCAGACCAGGTAGAGCTCAAGGTCTTTCTTTAACAATGATTTTCTTTAAGGTACAGAATATAAATTATTTTGATTTTTCCCTTTCCTTAGCTATTTTATGGGTTAAAAGTATTAGCAGGTATTTCATGTGTGATAGAAAAAAAAATATGAAAAATAATTTTTAATGTTTTAGAGAACAGGAAATCTAAAGCAGAAGAATAAGCATGGACAGGGCCCAGCTGACATCCAGCTCCCCCCACCCCCATCTCCATCCCCATTCACACACAGGCAAACACGCACATGTACATTTCTTGGTCCTCACCTTGGGGTGCAGTTCCAATACCAGCAGGGGCCCACAGAGCAGGGGCCCAGGTCCCCCCCTGCTGGCAGTGATAAAGCGGACAATGTGGTCGTGCTGCAGGCCTGGCAGCTCATACAATGCTCTCTCAGCTCGGAACTGGGCCATAGCCCTCAGGGGGAAGGTCTTGATGGCTACCAACTCGCCTTGCAGCTGCCCAGCCCACACCACTGCGTGACCTCCTTCCCGGATTACCTGGTGGGATACGGTGTTGGGTGTGGACAAGGCTTCCCCCCCAGCACACCCTCTGGGAGTACTTAGAGGGCACCTTCCTCCCGCCCTGGGCACCTGGGAGAAGCACAGCTCAGGCAGCTCAGGCAGCTCCGCACTCCAGTCCCTGCCTGCGTCTGGCTCTGGCTCTGGCGCTGGCCCACCTCTCACTCTGCAGGCCTTTCTCTGTAGCAGGGCTGGGGTAGAAAGAGCCTTAGAGTCAGAGAGCATGGGAATGGAGACTGGGAAGGGGGCTTTGTGGGAGGTAATGGGAGTCAGGTTGTAGAGATCTCAGAACCAGAGGGTCAAGGAAGCCTGGAGAAGGGTCAGAGCTTTGGGGCAGTGTCTTGGGGTCACAAGTGAGGGATGGGGCAGATTAATACCCAAGATGATGCTGCCCAGCAGCAGCAGGAGGAGAAACAGCCCCAGCAGCACCAGCGCCATCCAGATGGACTCGCCTAGGCATTAAGGCAAGAATGCAGGCTGGATAACCCCTGCCCCAAATCTACTCTCTGCTCCTCTCCCCTCCTCAGAAATCTTGTTTCTCCACCCACCCTCACCCTGGTCACAAGCCCTGTTATCTCACAGTCACCAGGGCAACCAATTTTCAAGGCCAGAAGGAGTGAAGCTTGGGACGGGGGTAGGGTGAGAACTGGCCCTGGTTCTACCTCTCCTAACCTGGGCCCCAGCCTCCACCCAGGTTCAGCACCCCAGGGGTTACCTGAGATGGCCGGGGGACCCTGGGAACCAGGAGTCCCAGGGCTCCCCAGCGGAGGCAGGTGGCTGTAATTGGCATTGCAGAAGTCAGTGCCACAGGAGCAGGTGAAGAGAGTGGAGCTGGGACTGGGCTGAGCTCGGGGGCTCGGGTCACATCGCGGGGACTCACAGCCTGGCTCATCACTGTCTCGGCATCCTGATAGGGTAGGATTAGGAAGAGAGGAGAGAAAGGGATTAAGAAAGAGAAGAAGAAAAAGAAAGAGAGATGGAGAACGAGAGAAAGAGCATAATGAAGTCTGGGGAGAGAGAGGATAAATCCCTTCTCAGAGGCATCCCTTCCATCTGATATGGGCTTTTCTTTTCCCGCCACACATTCCATTTTTCCTCCTCTCCCTCAGTTGCCACCCCCACCGCAGGATGTACCTGTCTCCCGCCCTACCTATCACCTGCCATATATTTTGCCATTCACCTTGCATCTCCACCTGTGCCTGGTCTTGGGTCAGGTTCCAGATCCCAAAGCAGCAGTGGCTGTAGAGGCAGCGGATAACCCTGGGGGGCCCTGGTCCTGCATCTAGCAGCTTCCCCAGTGTCTTTGTGCTTCCCCGGACTCCAGGGGCCTCAAAGAACACACAGGTCCGCCTGCTTGGGGGTGCTGTGGCCCAGGGTGGGAGGGGAGGTTTAAGAGAGTGAATGCAGGGGCAAAAACAGCAGCCAAAAGGAGAGACAAAACATGTTTCCTATCCCAGGGCCAGCATGGTAAAGCCATAGGAGGAAACAGTGTCAGCAGAGGCCTGGAACCTGACCCCCACCATGGGGACACATGGCTCTACCCGTCACCCTCACTCACCCACCCCACTCACCACTCTTCCAAAGGGGTGGCTGCTGCTTCAAATGCTCCTTTCCTCAGTGGGTGAATGGAAGGATCCTGCCCCTCCCCATAGACACTTACCTTGCACAGCTTTGGGAAGCAGTGCCCAAAGCCCCAGAGTACCCAGCATCATTTTGAAGGAGGCAGCAGACCTGCCCCTGGCCAGAGCTTCCTTCAGATACAGGGCCCTGGGGCTTCTGATCCCTCAGTCCCCTACTCCGCCCTCCTCCCTCTTTCCAGTCTCTGTGGGGGAGATGGCTGCTGTGGGGGAGAGGATGGGTGTGGGGAAAAGCAAGGAGAGGGAGGAGCAGAGAACCAATCCCATATCCTCCTCTATTCAGCCACCTCCTCTTTTCTCTGCAAGTGGGAGGAGGGGGCCTTGGAGGCCCAGCTGAGAACCCAGTGATGCTTAACTTCAAACCTCTGCCCTTTGCTGACCCTGGGAAAAAATTACAGGATCCTGTTAGCTAAGAAACCAAAGTGAGGTCAAGTGCACAAAGCCGTTCAGCTATGCCCAAGATCCCTTCTAACCCTTATCTAACCCTTTTTAGGTCTAAGTCCATAACTCCCTGAGCAGAGAGAGACTTCACAGCCCATACTAGAGTTTACCTCATTTTCCAAATTCAAGAATCAGAAATCAGTTATATAAAATTTCTTGGATTTAAAAAAAATCACATTGAAAATGGTATCATGGTAAACTTTATGTTGCCAGAATTTTAAAAATCACTTTGAGTCACACACCGAACCAATCACTATTAATGAGAACGTAACAAACTTCTATTGAGCACCTATGTGCTAGGACACAGGTAGGGTTATGCATTTATAATCACCTCATCTAATTCTCCCATTAAACTATTTGTTATTATTTTTTAAAATTATTATTATCTTCATTTTATAGGTAAGAAAGCTGAATTCAGGTAACTTGCCCAAGATGATTTGAACCTAGGTAAGTCTGACTCCAAAGCCCAAGCCCAAAAGAAGAAGAAGAAAAAAGAGTCCAGGCCCTAGTCTTTGCATTATGCCTGAAAACAAGTACAAAACACAGCAATAAAAATATTTCCATTTAGTACAGCACTTGAATATTTGAATTTGGATGGTTGAGAGAAAAATACACCACTACCTGCCAGCAGGCCACTAACTAGAAAGGGAAGGTACAGTTCAAACTATAACCACCAGAGGTCAGCAGATATAGGAGAAACGTGGGTGCAGGGAGGGGCCAGCAACAGCCTCTTCTGATGATTGATGCCCATGGTACACTTCTATATCAATTTTTTAAAAAGTATTTATTGATTTGAGAGAGGGAGAGAAACATCAATTTGTTGTTCCACTTATTTATGCATTCCTTGGTTGATATTTTTTAAATGTTTTTATTTTTTAGTATATATATACATGTCTTTAAATGATATATTTATACATACATACATAGGGTTATTACACAAATACACATATATATGCATAATATATATATAAACACAAAATTGTCTTTCTTTTTTTTGGAGTTGTCATTTTATTTGATGGCATCTAGAAACATCCTTATCGTGCACATAGACTTCAAATTTTGTTTTTTGTCAATTATGTTTGCAATTTGATTTTTGTGCTTATGTTCATGTTTTAAGTAGGCAATTTATTTTCTACTCTTTATTGATTAAAGCATTACATATGTCTCCCTTTTCCTCCATTGACCTCTCCCCAGCCACTCCTAAACCCCAGCAAATGCCCTCACCCCCCTAGTGTCTGTGTCCATTGGTTATGCTTATATGCATGAATACACGTCCTTTAGTTGATCTCTTACCTCCCACCCCCACCCCTGCCTTTCCTCTGAAATATGATCGTCTGTTGGAAGTATTTCTGTCTCTGGATCTATTTTTGTTCATCAGTTTATGTTGTTCATTATATTCCATAAATGAGTGAGATCATGTGATATTTATCTTTCTCCGACTGGCTTATTTCGCTTAGCATAATGCTCTCCATGTCATCCATGCTGTTACAAATGGTAAGAGTTCCTTCTTTTTATAGCAGCATAGTATTCCACTGTGTAGATGTACCAGTTTTTTAATCCACTCATCTGCTGATGGGCACTTAGACTGTTTCCAAATCTCAGCTACTATAAGTTGTGCTGCTATGAACATAGGGGTGCATATATCCTTTCTGATTGGTATTTCTGATTTCTTGGGATATATTCCTAGAAGTGGGATTACTGGGTCAAATGGGAGTTCCATTTTTAATTTTTTGAGGAAACTCCATACTGTTTTCCACAGTGGCTTCACCAGACTGCATTCCCAGCAGCAGTGCACGAGGGTTTCTTTTTCTCCACATCTTTTCTTTATTGATTTTTTAGAGAGAAAAGAAGTGAGAAGGTTAGAGAGATAGAAACTTCAATGAGAGAGAAATATCATCAATGGGTTGCCTCCTGCATGCCCCCCATAGGGGATCGAGCCCACAACCTGGGCATATGCCCTGATCAGGAATCAAATTGGTGGCCTCTGGGTTCCTGGGTGGATGCCCAACCACTGAGCTACACCAGCTGGGCTGATTCTTTGTGTCCTGACCTTGGTGTATCAGAACGATGCTCTATCCAACTGAACTACCCACCCAGGGCCATCTCCTATATCTATTAAGCTGCAGGGACTGTAAAAATATGAAAGGAGAGCACAGGATGTGTAGAGGGAATGTCAGCATGGAAATCGAAGGGAAAAACTATAGCTTGTGCTGCAACAGCAAGACAATGGCTCAGAAACAGCAGTAATCATTTCCACAGGTGTGAGTAGCTGGCTCCCACAGGAATTAGAGAGGGGATCAGTTCCCTTCTTCTCTAGCTACTAGCCTTCTGTCCCCCTGGTGGCTGTCTAGAAACACTTTCTGCCTTAGACAAGGGGGGAAGGTCTGAGTATTGATTCTTTGATTCTTGAGCCTTTCTTTGGGAACCTGAATGAAAGGAGAGTAAAAGCTCCAGTAGTTGTGAAGCCAAAGCTAGAGTAATGATGAGGGCTGGAGGTAGATGGACAGTTGCCCATCCCTTTTTGGGAGTTTGCAGGACCCTGTCTGTGAGATGACTAGACTGTACTTAGTTACAGCTATCTTCCTTCACCAGCTTCCAGATCAGATAAGTCCTGGGTAGGAGGGATGATGGGGAGGAGTTGAAGGTCAAATAACTTCTTGTTTCTGGAGTGTCTCATGAGACTATCTCCGCCAGAGGGGAGTGAGGTAAGGATCAGGCAGGAAGACGGAATCTCCTCACCCAAAGCCTTGGATAACTACTTGTCTCAAAGACAAACATTCCAGTGGGGTTTATGGGAAATATACCTGCTCTGGGCAGAGTTTAGAGTTGAGATGGTGATAGAAGGAGTGAAAATCTGAGAGGTAAGGGATTAGGAAGGTCCTGAGAAAGGATCTCAGCATAGGAACAAAGGCTTCCTGGATAAACATAAACAGAGATCTTCATCAGAATCGCCTGATTAAAGTCTGCAGAGGCCCAATAATTGACCTTTGACCCCACTGACTACAAGGCTAAAGCACGTTTATTCATTCAACTCAGAAAATATATATTAGGTCCCAGTCTTAAGGTATTTCATTAGGTGCTGGGCCTGCAATGATATGTGATTCCTGCCTTTCAAGAACTCATAGTCTAGCCTGGTCAGTCATTGAGCTTGGACCCATGAACCAAGAGGTCACTGGTTTGATTCCTGGCCAGGGCCACATGATAGATGTTTCTCTCTTATCAATGTTTCTACCTCTCTCTCCCTCTCCCTTCCTCTCTCTCTAAAATAAATAAATAAATAAATAAATAAATAAATAAATAAATAAATACACATTTTAAAAATCTTCTTAAACAAACAAAAAATTAAATAATAAGATTCTAAATAAGCAGAAAGATCAAATAAGCTAATTCTGTCCAGGGCATAAAAGACAGGGGAAGAAAGGTGCCCAGAGGGTTTCACAGAAAAAGAAATCTTTAAATTGTCTCAAAAGTAAACACACTGAAAATAACTAAAAGGAAGGTGATTGCTATAGGCAAAGGGAATCACAAGAATGCACACAAAGAAAAAACAGGAAAAAAGCCCTAACTGGTTTGGCTCAGTGGATAGAGTGTCAGCCTGCGGACTGAAAGGTCCCAGGTTCGATTTTGGTCAAAGGGCATGTACGTTGGTTATGGGCACATCCCCAGTAGGAGGTGTGCAGGAGGCAGCTGATCGATGTTTCTCCCATCCATGTTTCTAACTCTCTATCCCTCTCCCTTCCTCTCTGTAAAAAATTAATAAAATATATTTTTTAAAAAAACAGGTAAAAAAAAGGATACACACAAAGAGGTATGAACACAAAGTGTATGCATTGGGGGAAGAGGGTGTGAGCAGGAGAAAGGTATAAGAGATAAAAAATCACCCTAGAGATAGACTGAGACCAGATTGGAAAGGTTTTCTATTCTGTATCAAGGAGCTTAGACTTTTCCATGCCCTAACCGGTTTGGCTCAGTGGATAGAGCTTCGGCCTGTGGACTCAAGGGTCCCAGGTTCGATTCCGGTCAAGGGCATGTACCTTGGTTGGGGGCACATCCCAGTGGGGAGTGTGCAGGAGGCGGCTGATCGATGTTTCTCTCTCATCGATGTTTCTAGCTCTCTATCCCTCTCCCTTCCTCTCTGTAAAAAATCAATAAAATATATTAAAAAAATAAATAAATAAAAGGAGCTTAGACTTTTCCTGAGAGCAAAGGATTTTAGGCAAGGGTCTGGTAGCAATGTGGAAGATGGATGACTGGGGTTCAGGGAAACTAAAAGCAAGGTCAGCTACAAGACCTAAGAGTAGCCACAGTAAGTACCAGGACAGTGGAAATTTAAAAAAAAAAGAGAGAGAGAGAGAGATGCATTGTATTGGACAGGATTGGTAATGAAATGAATGCTGGGAGATAAGATGATCCTAAGAGTTCAAGTATAAAGGCTCAAGGGGTAG